AAAGACTGCAGTTCGCTGGGTCAGCTCCCAGGGCTATGTCCTTTACTATGGACAAAGCAGGCACAGGCTGCATGAGAGAAGCTTAAAGAAGGTGGAGAGGTTAAGTCAATTGTGATAACAGAGGACAGAGAGAGGGAGTTGAGGGATGAGGAGAGGCAGGAGGACAGAGAGGGCTGAGAGGATTTGGAGAAGCGTTTAGGAATAAAAGTCTCCAGAACACCTTTGAGATGAGAGAGACGAGGAGAGGAGGAGAGAGGTGACTTTCCTTTGTGTTATACATGGGAGGGATGTAGTTCCCTAGGCCCTTGAAGTTGGGTGTGGCCATGTGACTTGATCTGGCCAATGAAACATGTGTGGAGGTGACTTGTATCATTTCCAGTTGGTGGCCACTTAATTGCTGGTACTCCACTCTTCAGCACCTTCTTCGCCTTCCTGGGCAGTCCTGAAAGCACCAGCTGACAAAGGGGAGCCATGAAATTAAAGAAGCCTGGAATGCTGGGCCCACACAAGAGACAACTGCCCTGGGGAGTCACGGTGCCCAAGTGGGCTTTGCGTGTTGAGCTACTGAGATTTGGGGGTAACCTAAAGCCTAAGCCTAGCCTGACCATATTAGATGCAAATGACCTCAAATCCTTTTTGGAAAGAAGCTGAGTTATACATAGGCAAACATAGAAACAAACTCCTAACAAAAGCATATTTGAGAGAAAAGATATTTATAGAAAATCATATACAGGATAAGCTGTCAATCTACTTGTCTGAGTACTTCAAAATTATTCTCGCTTCAAGTCTGATCACCAGCCTCTTTCAGAATCAACATCCCTGAGCTGTGCTTTAATAGTCTGCTCTGATTTTTAAAATTGTGGTAAAACATACATAATATTTATCATTTGGTGCATTCATACGTGTACAACTAAATGGCATTAAACACATTCACACTGTTATATAATCATCACCATTATGTAAACCCAACAGTTTCTTATCGTCCCCAACAAAAATGCATACCCATTAAACAATCCATCTCTTCTTCCCCCAGCCCCTGGTAATCTCTATTCTACTTCCATCCTTACAGAATCTGCCTGTTCTAGGTTTCTCATATAAGTGGAATTATATAATATTTGTCCTTCTGTGTCTGGCTTATTTCACTAAGTGTCAAGTTTTCAAAGTCTATCCATCTTGTAGCATACATCAAAAAGTGATTCCTTTTTATGGCAGAATAGTATTCCATTGTATGTAAGTACCACATTTTGTTTATTCATTCATCATTTGATGGACACTTGGTTTGATTCCATCTTCTGGGAACTGTGAATAACGCTGCAATGAATGTGGGTGTACAAATACCCATTTGCGTCTCTGCTTTCAACTCCTTTGAAGCTATTCCCTAGGAGTGGACTTGCTGGATCAGATTCTAATGTTTAACTGTTTGAGAAACTGCCAATCTGTTTTCCACTCTGCTCTTTTAAATCAAGTCTTGGCTGGGCAACAGTTGCGTGAAATCTTCAATTGCATTTTCCAGGAAAATGTTCTTTGTGAACAACTCACACTGTTCTATGCAATGTTTCTCATATAAAATCCCAAGGCAGAAACAGTTCTGAGGATTAGGCACTGGGGTTTGTTTCCTTTTCTCTGATAATAAGAATTCCAGGGTGGGTTATGGCTCTGCTATGGAGTTCGCAACCCAATTTGGAACTTGAATAGTTATTGTCGATGCCTGATCCACACCCCTGAGAATCCCCTTTTCAAATAGTCAGTGCCTATATCTTTGTCAGTGGGCTACCCTTGGGCTGTCTATGAAAAATCAGGCCAGAAGCACTTGTGAATTATAACCTTGTGCTTCCCCCACCCTCCAGGCAACTTTTAACCAATTAGTGACAGGTGTGGGTGTATAAATACCTTAGCTGTCTTGCCTGGGATAATTCTGGGTCATGAGCTTTGCGTTGTTTTCAAGTTTCCACTTGGGATTTAGGTACAAGCGTACCTCATTTTACTGTGCTTTGCTTTATCGTGTTTTACAGGTGTTGTGTTTTTTTTACAAATGGAAGGGAAGACCCTCTATCAGCAAAACAATTATGACTCTCTTTATTGCGATACTATTCGCTATGTCACGGTGGCCTGGAACCAAACCCGCAATATCTGAGGTTTGCCTGCCCCAGCTGCCCACCACGGTTCCTGCCTAATTCCACACCTATGTTCACTTACTTCCCTTCCTCCTTCACCTGTACTTGCCCAGGTCGTCTTCTGAGGAAACCTAAACTAAGATGAAGCTCTTCTCTTACAACTTCCTACATTCTTTTGCTTCCCATATTCCTGTTCTTTTCCCTGGTCTGGCAGTTTTAGTTACATTTTATGATTATTTTACTGTGTGCTTTCTTGTTGTCTGTTATCTCAGAGTCTTTGCAGAATAAAGCACAGTGGAACTAATTTCTAGAAGAAAAACACCATCATATAATGTTATGATTAAAATACAAGATATAAATGGTTCTTGTATTTTATGATTCCAATTTTAAAAAATACATACATATGTATGGGTCTGCATAGGGAAAAAAAGAACAGGAAGAAATGCACCGAAATGTTAACAATGGTTAACTTGGAGTGATGTAATTACAGATGGTTTAACTTTTTTCTTTATACTTTATTTTACAAAGAACATGAGGCTTTAGTTTCCTCATTTATAAAATGGGAATAATCACACGACCTCATGAAGATGTGTCACTTGAAACTGTGTGAATGTAATATAATTAGCTGCATCACATATTTACATAATAATCACAGTATATGCCTAATATGTATCCTAATAAAGGGTAGCAAGTGCTGTTATTACATCAGCAATTAATAAAATAATTTAAAATGTTAGAAATGAGAAAGTAAAAATGAGCCCCTACTTATATAGTGCTTTGTACTGTAGGGGAGGGAGTGGGCAGGAGACAGGACTAATATTGACTGAACAGCTACAGTATGCCAGATACCAAGGTGAACGCCATAGACATCTCAGATGAGAAGGACGGGGCTGAGAGCGGTTAAGACACTTGCCCAAGTTACAGAGGCAGGACCAACAGCTCTAACTTCAGACCCTTGGTCCAGGTTTCCTTCTATTCCACCAGATTAGATTATTATATCCGTGCCTCTTACATGCCCACCCATCCATGATATTCTCGATTCCTACGGCATCTATGTTCATCAGTGTCTAAACACACTCTGTTCCCTCCTATCCCTGTGTCCATGGGGTGTACTCGTGGTGGTGGTGATGGGGGAGAATTTACCCCCTGATCACCCATCAAAACCACCCCACATAAGTTTCGACCTAAATCAAAACTCTATTTGCTATGCAAATATAGTAGATTCCAGGTGAGTTCTCTGTTTCTTCATCCCTTGTCCTCCTTACATAGAAATTCCGGAACTATCTTCTGAGGCGACACAATCAAGAACTTAGGGAATTCTGCTAAGAGAGTCCGGCAGGGAACGGGGGGTGGGGAAGAGAACTGTGGAGGGGATCACTTCTCCGTCCGCCTCAGGGCCCCGTGTTCTGGTCATCATGGAGGATGCCATGCCAGCTTTTCCTGCCAGGTACCCAGGTACTGTGGTGTTGTAATGGCCTGCTGATGGGCAGGGCCACTGGGATGGGATGGGGTGGAGGTTGTGAGTAGGGCAGTTGAGGACAAAGCACTTCGGATATAGCCCGTGTGTCCCTAATCAAGCCAGTCCTCTCCGCCTTGCCTCCTACTCACCAACTGAAGCCCTGGGCTTGGGAAATCCTTCTTGACAAATCAGGTCTGAGGCTGATCTGTTGTACTTCGTGCTCTTTCTTTTGGCAGAATGTCTACCCAAGACAACCATGTGTGGGAGCTTCGGGGAAGTGCGCCTTGTCACCTAGCCTTGCTGACAAGCTCTCTTGCAAGCACAGGAGCCACAGTCGCAGAGAACTTGCCCTCTGAGCCGTCTGGTGTTGTGTGCCCTGTTACTGTGCCCAGAGCCTGGCAGCTAGGAGCCACTCCCTGTCAGCACAGCCTTTCAAAGCCCCCTCCTCCTCAGCATTTCCACATCTTCCCCAACCCCCTCAACCCTCAATTATGTTTCAAGGGTGAATGATCTTCAGGGGTGTGTGGTGCAAAGACTTTGAACATTTTCCTTCTGCTGGGAATAAAGGCATAATTGGGAATAACTGACTGTAGCCATGCCATGCTCTTGCTCAAAAACTCTCAGTGGCTCCCAACTGCTTCTAGGTAAGTTCTAGCTCCTTAGTCTGAACGTAAAGGACCCCTCCATTCCCTTTGTTTGGAGACCTTCTGAGCCTTCCTTCCACTACTCTCTAGATCCATGGAGCAGTTCTCTCCTCCCCCAGAATGCAAAGCCCTTTCAGTCCCCAAACCCAAACCATGCCTAACACTAACTGGTTTAGCCCCGAGGTCACTTCTCCCCTGATTCTTCCTGGTAGGAAAGTTTCCATCCTCATTAGCTTTTATGCCTCCTAATGTCCAACCTGGTATTCAATCGGATTCTCTCTCTCTAAGTTTGAAGTCAAGGAAAGGCTCCTTCAAAATCTGTTTCCCGCTCTGACCAGTGCCTGGCACGCTACTAACTCAGTAAACGTGTATAGGTTCCTCTCCCAGGAACTTTATAAGCTTTTCCCCTAAAGTCCCAGGAACTCAAGCAATGTCTCCTTAACGAGACTGAACATTGAACGGAGCATCTCTTACTTAAGGATCATTCAAGTCCGCGGGGGACTTTGTTAACTTCAGATGCAGACTCAGGAGATCAGGGAGGGGCTGGACTTTGCATTTGTAACAAGCTCCCGGGTGATGCTAATGCAGCTGGTCCGCGGACCACGTTTGGAGAAGTGGGAGGAAGTATCACCTGTTGGTTAGCAACAGCTCACAACTGTGCGGCTGGCTGAGCGCGGGGGTTAGGAACCCAACGAGGAGAAGCGCGGTATTGGCCTTGGAGCGCCCAGCCAGGGAAATGCCAGCGCGTTCTGCAGCCCCTCCGCCCCGGTGGGGCTCACTTACCTATGGTGGACACGACCGTTCCCACGAAGTAGAAGGCGCCGGTGAAGTCCCAGCGCTGGCGAGCGTTGTCCACGCGGATGCCGGCCTCGGTGGCCTCCTCGTAGTGGCGGAGAAAGTCGCGCAGCTCGTCGCGGCTCAGGTTGTGGCGGCGGCTGAAGGTGGCCAGGCGCTCCTCCCAGCGCTGCTTGGCCTGGAGCTCGTGCGCCAGCTCCAGCGCCGAGAAGACGGCGGCGCCGCCCAGCAGGTAGAGCACGATGA